AATGTAGCATAATGTAATATTATTCTTGTTTTCGGAAACTTTTATTTTACCGAAAAATTTTGTTTAGAAGAAAGAATTTTGAAAATTTTGTATCTGTGTATATAGACATTTGTTTATAGTAAAAATACTTCCAAGAAAAAATTCCTACAGATTTTTAAAACAATATTCTTTTAATTTTTTAAATTTGTGTAGTTATATTTGATAACAGGAAAGCGGGAATCAATACATAAAGAAGGAAAAACCTTTATTGTTGACAAAAATTTATTTAAAATTATTTGGACTTTGACTAAGCAGCACACCCTTGTAAGAAATTACTTAGTGTGCTTTTTTTTCAAAGAAAAGCTTCTAAAAATTTTATTTCAACTCAAAATTATTTAACCAAATGTTTTACACTTAAAGGCTCCGAATTCAGCTCTCAACAAAAATTACAAGAAATATTTTTCATTATTTGCTGTAAATTTTCTTAAGAATTAAATATACCAGCACTTTTTTCTTGAAAGCTCCAAACTCATTTAAGAAATTTTTATGGAAGAAAATTTCTTTTCCATTACTTTTGCTTCATTTTATATGAATTTTTCGTTTTTCTTAAGAGCTGGAAACAGCCCTTTACATAAAAATTTTAAACAAAAACTTTATTTAAAATTTCAAACCCTAAAATTCAATGTTTAAAAATGTTGCTCCTTATACTTCTTAATTAAAGAAAGAGATTTTTCATAATAAAATTTGACATTGTTTTAATTTTAAAATTTTTCCTTTGAACGAAAGATGGGTCTAAAAATGGCGCAACGCCGAGGCTAGATTGTCTCCAAACCAAATTTGACAAGTGATGAAGAGGATTCACCATATCATATACCAATAATAAATTTGTTCAAAGTTTTTATTTCATCAATAATAATTTTTTTTTTGCATTTTTTTTTTGTTATTTCTATTATTAAGATCAAAGTGTAGTTTCTTGGCAAAAAAAGTGGTAATTTTTCTGAAAGAAATTTGTTTTTTTTTGTTTATTTTTATTTGCAACTTCGAAATAATCTCACCAACAATTTTTCCAAAAAACTGAAGTCACGTTTATTTGGATGGTATTTTTTATGGTTTAGTAAAATTTTTTTGGGAGAATAAAATGTTGGGGCGTAAATCTCGTTCTTTAAATCTAATAATTTAAATAGCCTGTTAGGCTTGAATGCAATTTTTCTGAAAAAGTTCAAATGTTGACAAAAAATTAAAAATTTCTTCTGTGAAAATAGTAGATAAGTAATATATCGATATTTTTCAACTGAAGCCAAAATTCGACTTTTATTAAACATTTAAAAAAATTATTATTTTCAATTTGCATTTGGCAAACCAAAATTTGTTTAAAATTAGTTAATATAGAAATGAACTTTTGGAAGTGAACTGTCTAAAAGATTTTTTTTAATTATGTAAAAAAAGTGTTTTCAAAAATAAATTCTCGAAAGAACAAAAAAAGTTATACAAATTTTCTGCAAGCCATTAAAATGAAATGACAAAGAGATAAAGGAAAAAAACCGAAATATTCTCAAGCCTTATCTTCACTTTGAAAGCAAACTAATTCGTAACCATTTGCGGTTTTAAAAAGCTTTTGAAAATTCTGAATCGCTAATGTTTAGAAATAAGTGTAATTTGGTTGTACATATGTAATTTCATTCTTAATTTTCGCAACCCATTTCAGTTCAAATGTAACGAGTTTGTCGCCTAAGTCTTTTGTTCACTTTGAAATGAAATGAAATTTGCAGCTGTTGAATGATTGAGAATATAATAGATACTTGCGGCAGCTGTTTACCTTCTCAAAATTTCTTTACTTACTTACCATTAAATTGAATAATTTTTCGAACACTTTGCGCTTCCATAACTCGTGTACTTAGACCTCCGGCTTTGTTCTTTGCATGCATATTTTATGCTACATATGTATGTATGAATGTTTGTATATGTACACATTCATATATATTCATATATGCGTTTACATATATCACGCTGACCTACAGCCATTCATTTGCATTAGTTCCGCTCGTCACTAGAGCATGTAATTTGCAATTGCTACCAGAAAGTTAACAATTCAATTCAAATACATAATTCCATTCATTTATTTACATTTCAATTTTTGATTCTGACAAAGCAATAGCATATTGAATATAATACGGGTAAAAACTCTATCTTCAGTAAATATTTGCTTCCCATCTATGGAAAGTGTAAAATTGTTCAAATTAGTTACGGAAGCGTATGGTATACTGAAAGTATTTTGATAAATGCATGAAATTTCACAAAACCGCAAAAAATATTATAAATCAATTTTCTCTTCTTTGTAACTTTATTGCTTACTTTCTTTCTTGCTGAGTTGCTGGCGTACATAACGTTTTCTTGATTAACATGAACGCTTTTTCATATTCTGTGGTTAAGTGGCGGAATGTGGAAAATTGATTTTACAGTGATGAGGCTCCTGATGAAACAATTAAAGTTTCTTGTAAATTACTTAGAAATATATAATTAGTTGAATTAATTATTCTCGATTCTCAATTCTCAAACTTCACGCCAACTGCTTACCAGGACAGTCGATGCTACAACTTTTCAATAAAGCTCTCTAAAGCTATCTCTTTTTCGGCGATTACTTAAAAGAGGAAACAAGAAATAGAAAGCAACTGAAAGCTTTTTCATATAAAGCTCCCGGATTAAGCTTTCACGGAAAACTATTTTTAATATGTTTCAGTACCTCAAAGAAAAGGCTAAGGAGGCAAGTAGTAGGTAGAGCTGCCCTGTCTAATTGTAATTGATATCGGTGACGACAAAAAAAAATGGTAATGGTAATTATAGTGGTAATGATTATGGAAATGGTAATGGTATAGCATTTTTAACGGTTTAACAATGATACTTAAATTGATAATGGTGATGATAAGGGTATTTGCAATATAATGGCAATGGTTATTTTAATTGTAATGGTAATGGTAATGGCAATGGAATTAAAAATGGTAATGATTATGGTAACTGTAATTGTAGCTGTAATGGCATTGACAATGGCTATGGTAGAGAAATGGCAATGAAAATGGTATTGATAATGATAATTGTAATGGTAATGATAATGGTTATGGTAATGATCAGGGAACGGATTTTATGGAAATTGCCTTTTTTTCTGCTAAAGAGATAGAGTATATTCGATTAAGAATGTCCACGATCCCTGATTCCATATATACACATTTGAAGTTGCCTTTTTTGCCTTTTTTAAGACATTTGCCTTTTTTTTGCCTTTTTTAAGATATTTGCCTCCTTTAGCCTTTTCTACCTTTAAAAAAGTGATTATAACATTTACAATATTTTTTTTAAGATTAAAAAATATACACATGCCCATGCAGCTTATAGAAGCACAGGGACCTCTTGCCAAATTGGTGTTGAAAAAATTCAAAGCCGTTTTCTCAGCTAACGCAGGCTTGAAGGCAATAAGGGGTGTGGATAAAATTGTAAAGGGCTAGGAAAACGCCCTTATTTCTGATAATATGAACTTTTCAAACGTTCCATATTTAAATTGGGCTCCACTTGTATCAACTTACGTCGAGCGCACATTTAGTACATTCAAGGCTTTTCTTCGCGAAAATCGAATGAAAATGCTGCCAGAAAACTTCAAAATGCATCGTGTGGTTCAATGTTACTACAACTATACAGATTAAAGTTTTATGAGTTAGAAACTCGAAAGGATAAAATAGTCAAAGATTCAAAGTACAAATTTTTCATATAATGAAACTACTTCATAGTTTTTCTTTTTTTACTTGTAATATAAGCATTTCTAAAATAAATATATTTATTGATTGTTCTTCATATTTTCTGTCTTTTTTAGTGCCTTATTTTGCTTTTTTTGCAATACCTTTTTTTTGCCTTTTCCTGTCTTTTTCGTTAATTTGTTTTGCCTTTTTTTGCCTTTTTTGCAATACCTAGTGCTTTTTCCTGCCTTTTTCGCTATTTTATTTTGCCTTTTCCATCCTATTTCGTTACTTTATTTTGCCTTTTTTATAGGTTTTTAGGTCCTAAAAATCCGTTCCCTGGTAATGATAATGGCAATGTTATTGGTATTGCTAATGGTTAGGGTAATTTTAATAGTAATTGTAATGGTAATGGTTATGACAATGGCAATGTTGATGATAATGATAACCGCGACGGTAATGCTAAAGGAACTCGTAATTATAGTAATTTTCTTGCGGAACCATTCCAGCACCCGGTGCTTTTAAAGAAGCTGTGCGTTGCTTTAGAGCAAAACTCATTTGACTACTATACAGTAAAACTACTTTAATTAAAATTTTTTTATAAAGATTTATACTTTATTTTTCAAAATTAGCTTCGCCTACTACAGTTTCATTTTCGCTTTATAAAAGTTTAATAAGAACTACTATTTACTTTAAGATTGTTTTTATGTCTTGAAGTATGTATGTATGTATGTTTATAAGGCAGCTTTTGCGCCAGTGAGTGTTGGTGTGTGAATGTATTCATGTATGTGTCCATATGAGTTACTAAATGCTCACCAACAGTTTAGCTTAATTTTTTCACTGCTTTATGGTTTTACTTTTTTTTTTGAATAATTATCTTATGGTAAAATTTATATTGCCATTTGGGGGTTTTTCATAAACTTATTTACAATATTTTGAGCAGAAAAAATTGGCGATAATGCACAAGTAACTAGTTTTTAAGTAAAAGTATTAATTTGGAAGTGTAATTGCTTTTATGCTTTTTATGCATATATTTTTATACATATTTAAAATCTTTGTCATTAAAATTTAAAAATTTGCTAAATTTATTAAATAAAGTATTTTTTCGCTTGATAAATGCAATATGAATTTTATAATTAAGCACAGTTTTCATTTAATAAGTAGGTTCGTGTTTTTTTTAATTAAGCTTTTAAAAATATAAATAAGTTAAATATAAAATACATTTAAATAAATAGTAAAAGTTATAAGGATAAAGTCTGCATAAAAATTTAAAATTAAATACATAAAAATATTTTTATCCATTTTTAGTTAAAGCACAATCTCTATACGTAGATTCCAAATGTTCATGCTTGCGAGCGTACATTTCTTAAGCAAGAAATACATTTCGGAACCTCATAGAAAGTGTGCCTTGTTTGCTAAAAAGTTAAGCTTTAGATAAAAACTAAATTTTTGTTAAGTAAAGAAGTAGCTGTTTAGTTTTTAGTATTGGAAAAGGCGTTTTCACTTGAGCTTGCACTGTGGTGGAATTCAATCTGTACTTTTGAGCTTTCATTAGGGCTTTCCCTGAAAAAAGTGAACACTATTCATTTAAAATTTTGCTGAAGCATTCTCTGAAGCATGTACGTATTTTTAATGAGAGCTTTCACTCAAGCTTTCAATAGAGCTTGTGAATTTTAGGATATTTTAATTAAGTGCAAGCAAGTCGTTTCTCTGTATTTTTTAAATTTTACTTAAATCTTCAACTAAATAAATTTAGTGACATTTTTGAACAGGTGTTTCAACTTTCGCTTGAAAGTATCCTGCTAGTGCTTTTTTGGGAGCTCACCTCTAAGCCTTCAAATGTTCTAACTAGCGATTTCCAGAAGAAATGTCGAGGATTTTTTAAGCTTTGAAAAGTCCACTTAAAAAATGACTTCTTGATATATAAAGAAGGCAAAGCTTTTCTGCTTCTAAAGTGGTGTTACTTTTTTAGAACGAAATTTTTCGCAAGCTTTCGATAGAATGTTTTCCATGCCTAGCTTTCGATTAATAAGCAAAGCATTTTGATCCACATCAACGTCCGTCTTTTTGAGCAAAAGAGCTGTAAAAAAATCGTTTAAAATTTATTTAAGCTTAATTCAATATAAGCTCTTAAAGCTCTAAACTTCAAAAAGCTCCCAAGGCCCCTTTTTCACAGCTAGTTATTGTATAGCTGAAAACCTTCGTCTCAACTCCGACAATTGCAAGTTTTCTATGCTTTTAAAAAAGCTTTTTATGCTTAAAACTTCCAAAAAAGCTATGAAGAACTTCTGACTTTAAAAGTGTTGAATTCTTAAAGTTAAAAAACCTCTTTTCTGTTTTAATTAATCGCAAACTTTCTCTGAATACTTAACAAGCTCTCGAAAAAGCTTCGAAAGCACGCTCAATTCGGTCACCAAATATTTGTTAGTTAATAGTTTTATAGAAAATAAAATTAAAAAATTAAGACTAAACTTAAAAAAAGCTCCCCCAATGAGCTTTTATGTATACGAGCTTTCATATGATTTAACTAAATCTACAAATATAGTTTATAACTTATTAATGCACAAATTATTTGCAAGCCAATATACTGGTATTACCCCTCAAAAAAAAAATAATAATTCAAAGCTTTGTAGCTTTTAAGCTCACGTTGACAGCTTTTGGGGCATGCAGCTTTTTAGCTTTTTTTAGACTCTTGCTAAGCTTAACATTATGAAATGCATTATCATTTGTTACTTATATCTTTAAACTTATGCTTAAGTTACTAACTTTCCTGCTCTTTTATATAAATTTAGATGTTGGTTTTCTTTGAAATATTTTTTTGAATTGTCATACTATTTAACCCATAAAATTAAATTACTTTGCTGTTTTAGTCCAATACCCCTGTGTTACATTTGATTTTTGTTGTTTCTTGTATGGAAATGTAATGTAAGTGTTTGTGTGTATGTTTCTCGCGTAATTTTTATGCTACAATTTTGTGAGGTTGCATCCATTTTTTCATGTAATAACAGAACAACGTCGAAATGTAGAGCAAAATCATGAGCGCACAAGTGACGGCCAGCGCCAGCACGGAAGTCTTCGTCGGACAGGGCTCAATAATGGTGACAGTCTTATCTACAGAGTCGAGCAGAGAATAGAAAAGAGAAGCAGACAAGAGAGTATGTATGAATGTTTTCTTAGAAGCGCAAAAACTTCGGAAGCTAAAAAAAGCACCAGTTACCTTTGGCAAAGTCTGTGCTTGGATCCGCCTTGAAGAATTCACGTTTCTCATCGCCAAAGTCCAAGACTAGAATCTCCTGTGAAATGTTCATATCATCATCGGTTTCCTTGGTCTCATTGCTGGTGGAAGAGAGAAAGAGATAAATAAATGAACGCTCAGCACCACCAATCCCCCTCTCACTCACCTGTCCACAGCGCGTCGGCGACGTCTTCTGCCCAGCGATTCAAACGACTCCATATTCCATTCGCACACGGCTGGCTCGCACGGACCCAAACAGTATTTGACATTGCACTGGAAGATGACGCCGTAACTCTCGGTGAAACGGAAAGCTTCATAGGTCGATTGCAGTGCATTGCCGTCGGCGGTGAAGCCGGGGAAGATTGTCGGATCGGTGGGACAGCCATCGTCATCGATGATCTTGAAGCTGGTGCGTGCATCCTTGGCCATGGCGACGCAGGACCGAGCAAAGATACCGTAGGGAGCTTGAGCAACATCAAATGGAGTGAAAAGAAAAAGAAAAAGAACAAACATTAGTTGAGTTTTGTCCAAGCGTACGCTGGTGGTAGACTTTTCGCTTACTGTCTTCAGGTATTTCGATGCGGAAGTTGAGGCGATCACCAATGCGGACAGTCTCCACTTCACGCTGGCGTGTATCGAGTATGCGAATTCTTGGCGGTGGTGCTTCAGGCGATGAGTTGATGTGTATCATTTCAGGATCGCGTATTGGCATCATGCCGAAGGTGATGTTCTTCGAGCTCATGTCGTAGGTGCATTTCACCTTGTAGATCTTATCTGCCTTGGTCATCACAACGCTGTGGTGCTGGAGAACTACTGTATTCGAGTAGACGCCGGTCTGAGAATAGGAATGGAAAAGATTGAGGGTCAGAACCTTTTTGGCGGAATACGTTCCAGACGTTATATCGTTTCAAAGCTCACTGGGACTCTCTACCCGGTAAGACAAAGGTCCCCTTGAGAGTCCACCGAGCCTTACAGGTGTTGATATTCAGAGCACTAATAGTGTTAGGGGCAGATTGGGTTGTATAAAGTCATTCTGAGTACAAGAGCATGGCCTCCCATGATCAACTTGTCTAACCAAAAGAATTCTAAAGAAATAGGCTTCTTCGATTCTTTACTTATAGAGGGATGAGTCAGTTTTAGTTTCTGGTTCAGTGTTTAAGCATCTCGGCTCGGAAAAGGCGTTTAGTAAGAGAAGATTTGCCAACTTTGGGATAATAAATTCCGTTAATCGAAGTTAAGATGGATGCTCTTCGAATGGATAGGATCATCAAGAGGCTTTCGTAGAAAAGGATTATGTCAGAAGATGCTCTCAGATATCTACGAAAAGTCAAACGTTGACCTCGATTTTGTACAGAAAGACTTCTTAGGAGATGTCTGAAAAAAATTGGTTGTTCAATTGCCTTCTTTCGGCAAGACTGACATCGTTTCCGACGTTATCCTCAAAAAGCTTGTCTAAAAGAAAGGCACTAAAAAAAGATTCAGGTGACTTCATGATAGGGCAGTGTGGGCTTTTAGTAAGCCCTTTGACAGCAGACAGCCTTATTACTTCTTTGATAAACTTGTTCCATAGAGACAGATTAAAGTCTGATATTCGGTAGTCTCTAAGGGACCTAGTTTATGGCTAGAAAAACTAGTTGGCATGCTATACTCACTACACTTTGCGTATTACAGTCCTGTCCAGCCATGGTCAGATCCAAACGGAAGGCATCAGAGTTGATGACATCAATATTGCAAGTCTCAGAGCGTCCCAGAGCATAGATGCGGCCATTGAAGGGTTTATTGGTGCGGACTTGAACGGCAATGCGGGTATCCTTGCAGTGAACGGAAACTGTAAAGTAAAAGATAATGAGATATAGTATGCCGAACCGCCGGAAAGCCTACTAAGTAGTGTAGAGCATACAGATTCAAACGGATTTTGAGCAAGAGTTCGCCTTTAGTATGCTTTTCGTTCAGCGTTTTGTACTCTTAGCTACATTCGTAGAATTTCCTTACACCTCGTTTCCCTTCCTTCTACTTACCATCATAGCAGGTGCCTGTTTTATCGCAATTCACATCAGTCCTGGTAATGTTGGTCAAGTTCGGATCTTCGGTGGTGTCCAGACTCACGGGCAGCGTGTCCAGTTTGTCCAAAGTACCAGGTGGTGAGTTCGTCTTCTCGCAAGCATTCTCAAAGTACTGTCCTATCGGTTCACCGTGATCTATTAGTGGACGTTCGTGATTCAGATAAGTCGAAGGACCATCTGGCAGTGTCTTGTGATCCAAGTGGAACAAACGGCAGTTGTACTGTGAGCCCTGCGGTTGACCGAGATACAAAAAGGAACGACACAAGAATTCCGTTTCGATTTCACAAGCCAACCGGCAGGCGGACTCCGAAGTGACCTGCAATTCCTTGTCCGTGTAGTAGTGAAGTCCCACATATTGGGCGACCTTCTCTTCCGATACACCCACACGTGCCACTGCAAACGAGCGATTGTTTTTGCACGCCTGCGCTGGCTTCAAGCATAAATTCTCAAAGTAATCTGTGCCTTGCGCATCGACCAGCTGCACAAATTGACCCGAGCTGCGACGATCCGAGTCGCTCAATACACATTTCATGTTATTGTAATCGTATTCGACCGATCGACAAACGAAGCGTTTCTCATTCAAACACGCCGACAAGCAGGCCTCCTTGGTGCTGGTGTAGATGAGCGCATTATCCAGACCACGTATAACCTTATTGGGCACACGCTCGAACGCCCACGGCCGATGGCAGACATTCTCGCTGCGCAGCTGCAATTTTACCATGTAGTACATGTTGGCGGAGCGTTGCGGCGCCGCTGAGGGGTTGTGTGCTGACGAATCGTTCTGCAGCTGGCAGTGTGTCTCCTGTGAGGGTGACAGCGGATTGACGACAAAACTGAAAGCGGCCGCCTGGCAATCGGCCTCCTCGCGACACCAGCCCTGACACTCGTACAGCGACAGATTCTTGACGCTGTAGTATGTGGTGCCAGCGAAATCGTAGTCTGTGAGCTTTTCGAAAGCCATGCGCGCTGCGGCGGGGCTGGGTAGCAGCACGACGACGGCTAGGCAGAGGACGAGCGCAAAGCGTATGTTGGCCGTCAATGATGAAGGGGAGGACGTCGACCGACTGGACATGGTTGGATGATACTGACGGTGTAGTAATCGCATCTGAAAGGAAAAGAAAATGCGTAAAAGTCAGTATTGATGTCGGTGCTTGGTAAGAGGAAGCTAAAACTGGACAAGCAAAATTAGTGAATACAATTAATTTTAAATTTAAATTAAATTTTGAGTGAGCTTAAACGGTACATTCGACAGTAGAGTAGCCTGGCATTAAAGGTTTACATTTGTTTGATTTAAATTATGCTGAGGTTTCGAACAGATTTATTTGATTTAATAAAATTTCATGTAGAAAACTTTCACGTGTGTTTTCGATCATAAAGTGGCACCATTTCGGTTCTGAAAAAAGGGGATATTTGTTTGAATTAATTTAACTTTTTAATTGGAAAGAGTTTTCAAGTAACCTTAGAAAAAGCTTTCGACCAACGAAAAGCTCTGTTTCAAAAGCAAGATTTGTTGGAGTTAATAAAAATTGATACGGGGAAAGCTTTACGGCTCTATTCTGTATCAGTGACAAATTCTTGTCACAGTATTTTTTACGGAAAAGTATATGAAAAAGTTAAAATTTGTGAATAAAAAAATTTTTGTCGCTGATACAGAATTGGGCTATTAATGTGACTTCATAAAAAGCTTTTTCAACTTAGTTAAAATTTATATATTAAAAGCTTTCACGTGACTGTTCGTGCTTTCGAATGCTCAAAAAAAAAATACACATTCGGCTGAATTCTTAAACGTAATTTACTTCATCACTCTCAGAGTTGCTAAAGCTTCTCTCCAGCTAGAAGCTGGCCAGAATTGCTGGGAGTTTGAAGTGTATTTTGATTTTTATGCTCGAATGAACTTAAAGAACGCTGCTATGCTTGAAGAAATATGCAAGGAATGTGTAAATTTTTTTTTAATATTTTTTTTTTTGGGTATAAATGTCTATGCTAGTCTACCTTTGCGGGAAAAAGAAAACCTTTCTTCACAGCCTACTTTACATCACTCATCATATCACATCACATTGCCTAAGACAATGCTACATGACAACAACGACGCGAAAAAATTACAACACAGAAATTATCACCGGTGGTCTTCTCTTTCCTCCTTTCTTACTTTACAGTTTACAATTTCCAGTCCGTTTGATTACCAACTTGATTTAGATTTCCCGTCGCTCAGCTGTACCGCCTGTTGCTGCTGCGCTCCATACACTTTCCGCATTCATTGACAACAATCTTGTGCGGCGGTGAAGTCATGCCAGATAACGGCACAAATAACCGCAAGAAAAGAAACGGCAACAACGGACGCGGAGGCCACAAAATCAGTTGGTTTTCGATTGCAAAAAGCCGTGGCTTGTGTGGTACATACAAGAGACTGCTGATTGAGTAGCGGAATGCAAGGTTGGTAATGAACGTATTGGAGAATGTGCAACAACATGTGGCATATTGTAACAATTTGTTTTACAACTGTAGCGATCTGTGGTAGCAACGAGAGAACATGAATTGGCGAGCTTAAAATGGCAATGACAATGAGGAGTGCGGAACAGCTGTGCTTATGCTATGTGAAAGGGGGAGGAGGGCATAAGAGAAGCTAGAATGGTTGGAAAGGTTGTGCGGGAATGTAATGGCATACATTGGCGTTGGAAATGACCTCACTAAAGTTTGGAGAAAGTTAACAAAATCTAAATGAATTTCTAGTTGAAAGTTCGTGGTGGCCAGATAGAGCTTTTACGCTGACAAAGCTTTTTTAAGCTTTCTATACATTTGGTTTAGGCGAGTGCAGAGTAAAATCTCTCTTTGATCATCGCTGATTTAGAACTATGTCCCTTAAACATTGGACTTTAACTCGATTTTTTACACTGAAAGCTATAAAAAGCTTTACACCCAGGCAAGTCGCTGCCTTTCACCGTTTTAATCAGAGTTTTCAACTTCAAAGACCCGCGCGTTTTGCATTTTAGTTATACAAGTGGCGATCAGAGAGAGCTTTTGCTCGGGGAGTGCCCAAATAAATCTAACAGAGAGCTTAGGAAAGCTTCTCTCCTGGGATACATATTTGTCGTAAATGATTTCGACAGACACATGACAGAAGTACTCTGATCGTCCTGTATTTTTATAATTTAATCCAAAAAAAGGCTTCCACAAATACGGCGTTCGATCAAGTACATTAAACGATCATTTTATTTCCACTGAAATAAGGAGATGAAAAACTTTTCCGAAAGAAATTAAATTTTCTGAAAGCGTTTCTGGGGCTTTCTTAGTAAACGAAATTGTTTCGACTCCCAAATGAAAAGTTCAAGTTCCTAAATGAAAAGTTTGATTAAAAAATAAATTAGTTTACTGAAACTTCATACATTGCATAAAAAGCTTTTATAAATATGAAACAACTTTAAAAGCTTAAAGATTTTTTGATGAAAACCGAAACCAGTTTATAGAGTATTTATGGCTACAAGCTCATAGTGCAACTCGTGGGCTTTTAAAGCTCAATATTTTTAATTTTTTCTGTCAGTTTTTATTTGTTTACGCCATTCGTAGCTTACAGCTGAAATTTTATTGTTTGAAACATGTAAAGAAAGTTGAAGACAAAAGCTTTCGAAGCTCAAAAGGCTGAATTCATTAATAAATTGTTATGTGAAAAAACGGAATTGGGGTTTTTTAAAATTGAATAATTTTAATCATAACTTTGAGACAAAAATTAAAAATTGGTAGTCAAAAGCCCCGTGGTTGAAGCTTGAGCTTAAAAAAAAACAAATTATGCGTAAAACTGATTTTAATACTTCTCTGTGGAATATTAAAAAAGAAAACATTCCAAAAATTTATTTTTTTTCATAAACTAATTTTCAACTTATGTTTTTTTTTAACCATTGAGAAAAATTCTACACAATGTATTAAGATGGAAGTTAACTAAAACGGATTTAACCAATTGTAATACATATAATAAATATTATGTACCGTCTACAAATAAATTTTCTCTTTTGGTGGAGTTTTCTTAAATATTTTGAAACCTTTATTTTATTTTATTTAGAATGTTTAATCTTCGAATATTCAATTTTTGAAGAAAAAAAATATATTTGAAAAATGTCTATCTAATAAAAAATGTTTTAGAAATATATATCAAAATCTAAACAAAGGGAGTTTTAAGAAATTTTAAAATTTGGAAAGCACATGCTTTTCAAAGGAAAATTTTGGGTAGAAAAGTGTATTTGTCTTTAGACGTGGGTTTTAATTTTTTCTTTTACGAAAATGTATGCCTTTGATTATCCATTTAGTTTAATAATTAGCCTGCAAGATTCTTCCATGTTATAAATGTTAGAATTTTTTAGTAAAAAATTTATAATCTTTTGATTTTTTCGCACGTACTTTTACATTTTTCAAATTCATTTGAGAAGCAATATTTTTTTTCTGATCGTTTTTTTAATTTTGTTTCCATGGTTCTAAAGAGCATTATTATAAAAATCAATGCATTCTCTATCGAGTAATTAAATTTTTTATCATAATTTTAAAGCACTTTTTCTACCCAAAAGTGTTAAGATTAAAGTCATTAAATTTACAAATTCCATTTAAAATTTCTTCTTCTTTCCGTTTACATATATTTTTTAACTTCTTTTTTAATTTGTTTCACTTTTTTACCACAAATTCCTTAAATCTGCTTTTACTCAAATAACCAACGCCAATTTTCCAGTTAAAACGCTGCAAACCAAATTCCACCGTTAGAATGAACATTTACAACGCCCACTCAGGCCATAAACCAGCCAACGGAAAAAATAGCACATAAAACTTTTGCAAGCAGGCCATAACAGGCGCAAGGAGACCAACAACAACCAATCAGCAATAAACTCAGTTCAGTGTTGGAAAATTTTATATCTTGGCAAAACATTGAAACTTCATCTATTGCCATCGTAAATTCCTGCATTAATGGTCAAGCGAGTGTGTATTTCTGCATATACATATGTATGCACACATATACATAGTATGTATGTTCGTATATCTAGTAGTCGTAGGTGCAGTGGCAAGTTGCATCAAGTTAGCAAAAAAACAGAAGATGGCGAAGTAGCAGCTTCACGGAACACTGCTGCTGAAATGTGGAAGGAGGATTTGTAGTGGGCAGTCAGTTGTAGTGCGAAAAACTGTCTGTCTAGGATCAGCGGCGATTGTGAAAAGCTATAATTTAATTGTAGTAAAAATAATCGTAGAACAAAAATATTTTTTGAAAAATTGAACATATTACCGAGCATTAATAAATATTGCAATAAAATGAAATGCTAGTCATAAATGATATTATTATTGGTTAAAAATCAAAGCATTTAAGGGGCGCAGAAGCATTAGTAGATAAAAGCAGGGACCGTATCAGTTACAACTTTTATTAAAAAAATCGCTCTTTAACAATTATTTTTTGACTTTTATTTAATTACTCCTTAAATAATCGTTATTTCTGACTTTTATTTTATAAATCCAAAATAACAATTATTTTTGATTTTTATCTAAATAATCTGCAAATAACAGTTATGTTTGATTTTTGAATTATATGTCTTAGATAATAGTTATCGAAGACTTTGATTTATAAAATTCGGAAATAAAAATCAGTTACTGGCCTTTATTTTTTAAATCATACTTATAAAAATCATTTGTATAAGTCGTACTAAACTTTTGTTTCCCAACACCTTCTTAACAGCGAAAAATGTTAATGACTTTTATACGAATGATTTAAAAAATAAAAGTCGGTGACTGATTTATATTGATGACTTTTAAAAGTAAAAGTCACTGACTGATTTTTATTGATGACTTTTATAAATAAAAGTCTTCAATAACTGTTATCTAAGACATATAATATGAAAATTAAAAATAATTGTTATTTTGAATTTATCATATAAAAAATAAGAAATAATTGTAATTTTTTTAATTTTGCATAAAAATTGCAAAGAAAAGTTTATTTTAAAATTTGATTCTCGCGAAAAAAGAAATCGATTGGTATGTATTACTTAGTTGAAGAACATTTCCTTCATAGTTAATTTTTCCATGATAGTTGTCATCAATAACTGTTATGTTCGGTCCCTGGATAAAAGTATTCATTCAGCT